ATAAGTTAATCATTTTTTTGGCAATATGCATGTCTTCTATGATGAAAATATCTTAGCAAATGAGTAGATTTCATTAAGTTTAAGTTGTGTATTTAAGATATGTTTTTTTGGGGAAAGTGTAATTAAGATATGTTATTCACGGAAAAAGATTGTTATCTATTTATGAGATGTGTGTAACTTATTTTCAAGCATTGCCTGGATTACTCTAGGGTAATATTTGCCATCTTATAAACCTCATGCGGACGATATATTGAAAGATTGCAAAAATATGCCAGCGTTTTTGATGGCTCCCGGCCTCGCAGTACTACTCAATGGGATCGGATTTATATTCCAAACCCATATTTATATGAATATTGTTATGAAAGAATATATAAATTATGCTCCCTCCGTATAAGATTTATTGTCCCAGATTCCCAGTAGGGTTTTGTAGTAGTTTAAGAAAATTTATAGCTAGGTTTATTGTACACTTTTTGAAAAAGTATGAGTTTTTTGGTATTGTAGCAGCATTGTAGCAGTACTGTAGCAACACTATAGCTGCTTTTTGAGAGGAGTTATTTGCAAAAATAGAAGTGAGACAATCATTTTGATACACCCAAAAAACAAAACTGTGACAATAAAAGTGATTCGGAGTAGTACGTAGTGACGTAGATTGCTTTCTAGATGTTGGTAAAATTAGGGGTGTTCGTCGGTTTGGGTCGGTCGGTTTTCGGTTTGGTCGGTTCGGTTTGGTCGGTTTTTTTTTTGGAAAAGGTGAAACCGTAAACCGAACCGCACTACTTGAGTCGGTTTTGGTTCAGTTTCGGTTCGATTAATATCGGTCGGTTCGTGTCGGTTTCGGTTAGTTTTAGCATGTTTTTGTCGGTTTTTGTTAGGGCTGGGACTTTGGAACCAAGAACCGGAGAACCGATCCGGACCGAACCGTTATGACCCAGTTCGGTTCGGTTCCAAAATTTATTAGTTATTTGTTAATGGTTCGGTTCCTACTTTTTATTAACGGTTCGGTTCTCGGTTACTGTAAAAAATATGTACGTGGAACCGTTAAAGAACCGTTATATATAATAATTAAAATTATATATATTTCTTATTAGTATATGTATTTTAATGTATATTTACTTATTTATTTTCATATTACATTCACTATTTTAGTTTAGTTATTTAACTATTTGAAATTATTTTTCATTTAACTGGTTTTATTGGGCTTCTTTACCGAATATCTTGTTTTGTTTTTGTTTTCTAAAATTTGAAGTTTGTTATATATTTATCTTTTAAACTCAACTTTTGAGGTTTGAAATGAAATTCAACATATTTATATTGTAATTTCAAGCGTTGAATGTATTTTTGACACAAATTTAACCGTGATTTGTAAGATTTTTTTTAAATACTAGGAACCGTTTTTTTTTTAAACCCGGTAGGCAAACCACCAAAATCAGTGGGGCAAACGCCGGGGAACATTTGCCGTAATTTAATTAAAAAAGGAGCAATTACAAACAGAGAGGGGGACCAAGCCAATACCTCTCAGCAGATAAATAAATGAAAGATCAATAACAAAATTAAACATATCTAAGAGACGGAATGCCAAAATAGTCTAAAAAATATGCCTTTCTGCTCAAGTCTGATAAATAATTAATAGAGTTGATAACACTGAATTGGGTCGGCTTGGAAGCTGCAATGTAATGAGCAGCCCAATTCCTTTCTCGCCATATGTGTCTGAAGCCCACCTGTGTCTGAGAAGTCGAAAGGGCCATCTGGGTCGGCTAGGAACCGTTAAATGACAAGAACCGAACCGTTAAGAACGGTTCGGTTCCTTATTGGTTCTACAAAATAATTTATAAGAACCGAACCGTTAGTAAAATTTCACATTTTCAAATGGTTCCACATATTTCACCTAGGAACCGAACCGGTCCCAGGCCTAGTTTTTGTCGGTCGGTTTCGGTTCGGTCGGTTTTTTAACCCCAAATTAAAGGTGAAACCGTAAACCGAACCGCCAATGTTTAATCGATTTGAGTCGGTTTCAGTTTGAGTCGGTTTCGGTTTTCGTCGGTTCGGTTTCGGTCGGTTTGTCAGTCGGTTTCGGTTTTTCGGTTTTTTTGTTCACCCATAGGTAAAATACTGAAGTGGCGCTTAGAAAGTTCGTGGTGTCGCGTTACACTATTTTATTTATGGATGAAACTAAATTAGAAATAATTAGATTGATATGGCAAATATATTAATTATACAGTAATTAGAAAGTTCGTTGCAGTAATATTTTTGAATAACAAAGACATGTACTGTATGTAATAGCTATGCAAAATAAGTTCTCCGTAGGTTATATTACGTCGTAGCGATGAACACATAAATATTACCGAGTAGTAGTGATTGTAGTATACAAGCTATATGTATTCCGTTATAAATCAGACCAGATCAAATTAAATTTGGATAATTATAAAATACACTATTTATCAGCTGATCAGATTAGTTTAGACCAAATTTTATCAGCTATACTAGCCTAGAAAATTTCAGTCGAATTAAAAGCATTCTTATTTTCTTTCTGGTCAAATTGTGAACCTCAACTTTTTAAAATTCGAAATGAATAAAGAAAAGTTGAAAGAAATAATTGCATAGAAGTATATACTATCCGGATCATACTTTGAAGTAGGGGTGGACTCGAGCCGGTTCGGGCCTGGGCCCGGCCGGGCCTCGGTTCTGTTTTGTTGGGCCCGAGCCCGAACCGGTTGCCACCGGTTCCGGGTCCGGTTCCGGGCCTGGCCGGGCCACACGGGTCTGCCTACCCAACGTGTTGGAGAAGAAATTATGAAGCTCATCAATAATCTCATCATCATCTGACATCACAAGTATTCTCCCGAGCTTCCTAGCACCATACGTGAATGCACTCCGTATTTAACCCCCAACCCAGCCCCCTCACCCCAAACCACCCCAAACCACCTCAAATGGCCCAAAATACTCAGCCCAACCCAAAAACCTAAAAAAAAATCAAAAAAAAAATAATTTAAATTCGGCCCGGACCGGGCCTGAACCGGCCGGGGCGGTTCACCAAATGGAGGGCCCGAGCCCGGAACCGAACCCCACCGGGCTGGGTCGACCCGAACCGCCCCTGGGCCGGGCCGCCGGTTCGGTCCGGTTCAAACAGTGACCGGGCCGGGCCGGTTCCGGGTCGGGCCGCCTGGCCCAAGTCCAGCACTACTTTGAAGTATGAGTAAAATAAATGTTACTCCGTATTATAAAATGAGTTCCTAAATGTAGTGACTATAATAGCTAAGCTAGTAATTTAGGGGTTGTCCCCAATATGAATTCTAGAGGATTTTAATTAATAGAGTTTAGAATTCAGCCAGAAATTATTTGTCCCCGATTTGAATTATGTGGAATCTATAAAAGTCACGGTGTTCTCAACCATTTTGTGAATTTCTATTATTACTTATTTAGATGAATTTTAATGAAATTTAGTGAATTTTCACATAAAAAAACATTTCACCACAATCTTGTAGACTCTACTCGAATTTCAAAATTCATGTCTTTTAATACCCGTCAAAGTCAAAATTGGGGACACCCCTAATCATACTAATTTATCTTCAATGATTGGACTTGAGTAATTAAGATATTATACTATACTAATTAACTAGTCCACTGAAAAACCCTCAAAATTCATGTCTTTTAATGCACATTGACGTGTGAATTTGCTGGCTCGGTACGTAGTATATATACTTGGTGGCTCATATTGCTACGTAGCTGAAGTTCTCCAAATAATCTTTAATGTAGCAATACTCAAATTTGGATATGATATTTGGATGTGAAACGTAACTAATGCGTGGTGAAGTCCATTGCGGTTTATAACATAAAAAATCGATTGCTCATTGGACTTTATTTCATTTATAGAAATTTTACTTTTTCTAACACCTATTTTATGTTTTTGTGATCTATTACTTTACCTAATTGGCCTAGGTTTATGATCCATACTCTTCAATCTCTGTTACTCCACTACTTCTTAATTAAATTCCTATGTAGTCTAATTTCACTAAATAGATTTAGTTATAAATATAATGTCCATTGTCCGAAATAAACCTTGTCCCTAGCTAGACAAAGAAGTTACTTCAAAAAGTTAATTCATTCAAACACCATAAAAGTCAAATTATGAATTTATGTAAAATTAAACTATAAAGTTATGTAAGCGACGGAAGAAGTGACGGTGAGACTGGCCGGGTAGCAAATGGAGGCGGTTGTCCTTCCAAAAAAAGTCGGATATGTTTATTTACTAGAAAATTACAGTACATGTATCGATTTGTATCATTTTTATATACACTTTTCTTATTTGGATGTCTCTAATTTAATTTCTCATTTCTTTAAATGACAAATTATCTACATCTAAACAGTGCAAAACAGTGTCAAACAGTGCCAAACAGTGTCAAAACACTGTTAAAATAGTAAAATTTACCCCGTGGTAAGTTTATTTCCTTAATGTGCATGTAAGTTAAACCGAGACATTGTTTCGGGGACGGAGGAAGTACAACATACAATCTCTCCAAATTCCGCTTTCTGTATAAAAAGTTTTGCATCAACCACCGGAGAAAGGGAGAGACGAGAAAGCTCTAGCTAGAGAAACTATAGTATCGAAGTTAAATAATAACCGAAAAACCTTTTATACACCCCATCGAATACATGTTTTGTGCACATCTTCTATACTTTATCGGTATCAGAGGACGACTTGTAAATGACAAAACTTTATAACACATAAAATTGAGTGTGTATAGGTGAGGATGTGTAGTTGTATACACCTAGAATAAGTGTAAATGTGTAACCTTTAATTTGGACATTATAGTTCACTTCTTTCATCTTCACAACTTGTACAAAATACAACCTTAAACATGTGCCCAATTGCCTGAACCCAAAATAGTTTGGAGGGTATTTCTGGAAATGAGCGAAAACGGTGACTGGATCAGCTGTATCGGGTATGGATGACACCGTCCATTTAACCCCTCCAAAATCCAATTATTTGAACTCATTTTTGTCAAGACTCTTCCCCCATTATTACTGCATCATATATATCTCCTTTCTCTTTTCTTTTTCTTCTTCCAGTTGATGAATTCAATCCAAATCATCACTCTTTCGTTTCACAAACATTACATTTGTATGTAGCAACCCCTTCTGAGAAACCATTTCCTGCCTTGCAAAGCCGGAGTTGGGTGGTTTCAGCTTTTCCGGAAGCATTGTTTCTTTGTATGCTAAAGTTGTGATTTTTATTTCATCTTTTGATCAAGAAATTTGTTCGAGGGGATGGGAGTTCTGTCGACGACGGAGGAGGTGGTGGACGAGGTTATGAGGCTTCATCGATCTCTGCCGGCTCGGCCGGGAATCGAAGAGGTGGAGGCGGCGAAGGCCTTTATAGCCGCCGTGGAGAGGGAGGATCTGCTGAAACTCGACTCGATCGCGAGGCAGATCAAAGGGAGAGATGTTCCTGAAGATCTTTTCAACGTGTTGCGGGAAATGCAGAGGGCCATGGTTGATTTGCAGAGCAAAGAGCAGAAGAGGGAGGTGCTGAAACTGTTGGATCTCGAGCATGCTCATTCTGTGTTTGACGATTTGCTTCAGAGAGCTTCGAAGTGCTTGCCTTCTTCCACCTCTCCCACTTATGCTCCCTCGACTGCATCAAGCTTAAATTCCAGCAGTTTGTCGTCTCTGGCTACTTCCGCTTCCATGTCAGGTAGCAGTTTTGGGTCTCCTGCAACTGCCACTATTGTCAATCCTTTGTTTTCTGGGTTTCACAACGATAGAGAGCCTCTGAAAGCCTCTGAGTTTCATAGTAAAGACGACAGTTATTTGAAAAAGGCTAAAACGGCATTTTACATGGATGGAACTGGTGCAGATCGAAGATCAGATTATACCCCTGCTGTTTCCATGATTCTTGATTCCACATTAAAGCCCGCAACTTGTCCAAGTGAGTTTGAATCCATTGTTGTTGATTGTGCTGTCTAATTTAGCTTATCTGTATAGCTTAATCTCTAGATGCTTATGAGCTATGGCTTAAGCTTAAGGGTCTCTTTGTTAATGAGTCGTTTATTCTACTTGATCGTTTTCCTAAAATTTACTTGGACAAGTTTTTCAAAAAAGAGGGAACTATGTCATGTTGCTAAACATACAACTTCATTAAAAAGAATTGAAAAAGTAGGAGGAAAATTATGGTATTGTTTTGGTGAGACTTGAATATGACGGACAGGACAAAGTTAAGCTTAGATCTATATATCTTATGTCTTATTAATTTGGACGAAGCACATATCACGTACCAAAGGTTGTTTCTTTTAAAAAGAACAGCTTTTTAAATGGTTCTTTAAACTAGATTTGTACTTTGTCTTTTCTGAGTTTCCTTTTAAATTAATGATTTCTTGTAATGATGAATATAACAGGTGGAAATGGTGAGAAACTGAGCTTGATCAAGCTTGCTAGTCTCATTGAACTGACTGCCAAAAAGGGAACTCCAGACAACCTTATGCTTCAAAACAAACTGTCTGATCAAGTTGACTGGCTCCCTGAATCAATAGGGAAGTTAACAAGACTAATTACCTTAGATTTGTCTGAAAACCGGATTTCTTCCCTACCAGCTTCAATAGGGAAACTCTATTCGCTAAAGAAACTCGATTTGCACGGAAACAAAATCACTGACCTTCCTGATTCCATTGGAAATCTCTTAACCTTGATTAACCTTGACTTGAGTGGAAACCAATTAAAGTCATTACCACTTTCCATATCTAAATTAATCCACCTCGAGGAACTCGATTTGAGCTCTAATTCCCTCTCTACCCTCCCCGAGACTATCGGCTCTCTCTCAAGTCTCAAAAGATTGATTGTGGAAACAAATGATCTCGAGGAACTTCCTCACACCATTAGCCAGTGTACATCGCTTGTAGAGCTTCGGGTAGACTATAATAGGCTCAAAGCTCTACCCGAAGCCGTAGGAAAAATGGGAGCTTTGGAGATTCTGTCCGTGAGATACAATAATGTGAGGCAATTGCCTACCACGATGGCATCAATGGCAAGTTTGAAGGAGCTCAATATAAGTTTCAATGAAATTGAATCTGTTCCAGAGAGCTTGTGCTTTGCTACCACACTGGTAAAACTTAACATTAGCAACAATTTCGCTGACCTTCGATGTCTGCCAAGGTCTATTGGGAACCTTGAGATGCTTGAGGAATTGGATATGTGTAATAATCAGATAAGGAATCTGCCGGACTCGTTCAGGATGCTCTCGAAATTGAGAATCTTCAAAACGGAAGGGAATCCGCTGGAAGTTCCGCCTAAAAACATTTTGGAAAAGGGAGCTCAGGTATAATTATAATGTCTTATATGTTCATTCAATTTGTTACTCCGTATTTTAGTTTTAGGAATTTGCTTATTTGGTTATGGAACTTGTGCATGCCGCAATAATGATCACCATTTGCTCAACCTACTCAGCAATGAAATAGTCTTTTCCGGCCGGTTGTGAAAATTTCTAATTGAGAAGTCATTATTGTGTGCAACTTATTAAATACATGACACCTCACCCAAAATATGAAGTTTCTCTTTTAGTTTATTTAGATGTGGAATGATTTTACATACATATTACTACTTCAATATGTTCAGGCTGTTGTTGAGTACATGGCAGAAAATTATGCCAAGAGAGATCTGAAGTCACAACCTCTGAAGCAGAAGAAGTCATCCTGGACTCAAAGATGCTTCCTTTCAAGATCCAACAAACGCAAGCGCAACGTGGAATATGTGAAAACCTAAAATGACCATATTTCTTTCAGGTATGAGATTTGGCATTTCCTTTTTAACTAACAAACATTGGATGTTTTTGGCCTGTAGTTATCCCATTGATGAAGGTCTGGGACCTATGGTACTGTCTCACATGCTGTGTTATGTATTGTACAGGAAATGCAAGCTGGCTGGAGATGCTAACACGTTGGTTGAGCTCAACCATTTTTTGCTAAAAATCAACTTCCTTTTACACATATGGCCCTGATCCTTGCAGTTAAATTTGTATATTTTTATTTATATTTCTTGGTATAGTAATATTAAATTTTTTTATTTAAATTTTTATACACCTGTATTGTTTATGATATTCTTAAATGAGGTGTACAATTCAGTCCCGAAGCAGGGAGTGAGGGCCAAAATGTTGCATTCAGTCCCATCAATTTAATTATTAACTACGGAGTAATGGATATGCATTTGTTCGTGGCTACATTCTCTAATATTTAGGTCAGGTTGTCAGTTGTTTTTCAAGTCTATTGAAAATAATAATTTTACGGGAATATAATATAAAAGCCCGAAATTTTGGAGTAACGGATAAGCACCCCGAATTCGCATATGCAATATATACACTCTAAATTTTAAATAAAAATCCATTTTCGCACCACAATTATATAGTTTTTCAAATAATTTAAAGTACTCTAATTTTTGTTTGGATGCAATTACATTCTAAATTTCATTTGTGAAATGAAAAATATTGCATTGGGAAGTCTTGGACTCGGGCCGGGTGTCCTGACCCGGAACTGGCCTAGGACCGGTAGTCCGGTATTGTGCTGAACCGGCCCGGCCTGGTGGCCCGGCCAGTGACCGGTCTGGGTAGGCCCGGCCCGGGGGGTTCCCGGTGTGGGCTCTGGTCACCCAAAAGACGAAAGGGCCCGGCCGGTTCGGGCCCTGTTCCGGGTTTTTTAATTTTTTTTTCAATTTTTTTTTCTTTTTTGGTTGGGCTAGGTATTTTGGGCCATTTGGGGTGGGTTGGGGGGTTGGGGGTTAATCAGGAAAAGGGGAAAAAATTGATCGAGGCCCGACCCGGACCCGGTGGCTACTTGGGCCGGTTCCGGGCCTCCTTCAAAAAACCCGAGGCCCGACCGGCCCTAGGCCTGGCCCAGGCCGGGGCCCGATCCGGCCCGGGCCCGGGCCGGGGCCCGATCCGGCCCGGGTCCATGACTAAAATTGGGTATTATCTAATTTTAATTGAGAAATTACCTTAGTTATGATCTAAAACTCAGTTAATTTCCCAATGTATGGGCTTATTAGTTTTTCCCCAAAATAATACTTAAATTCGTAATATTTAATAAATAAATAAATAAATAAATTTTATGGACTAATATGTCCTTAATTGTTATTATAAAACCCTACTTAGTTTTTCAAAACCTAGCCATACCAACCATTCGCGCAGCATCATCCATGGCATCATCCGCCGCTGGCCGCCGTCGGAGTTCTCTGCCGCCTCCGGAATCTTCTGCCGCCACCGCCGCACTGCTCCGCTACCAACGGACTGCCTTGGTTGCCCAAGGAAACTAGGGGGTGGGGCAAAAATTAATTAGAATAAAGGTTTTTGCCGGTAGCTGGAGTTCCACCGCCGGCCGCCACCGTCTGCCACCGCCACCACTGAACTGCCGCTGCTACCAACGCCATGCCCCGCCACCGACGGACTGCCCTTGTTGCCCAAGGGAACGGGGGGGGGGGCAATAATTAATTACAATAGGGGTATTAAGGGTAAAAAAATTATGTTTACTCCTATTTGGGAAATTTTAGGAGTTAACTCCTATTTAGGGAAATGTGTTATGTTTTACTCCTATTGGGAGCAATTTCTCTAAATCATATACTTCGTATATGGATAGTTAAAGGAAAAAGGGTCAAATACAAATGGTCACTTAAACCCATGCACTATAAAAAGCATCATGTAAACCCATCTACTTTCAAAAAACAATCAACCAAACCAAAATACCAGAAGGTTACCTTTAATAGCAGGTCATCTTCATTTCTCTCTCTCCTCATTATTATTTTTATTTATTTTTGAGATAAGGGTCAGATAGGGTCTCGAACTTGAAAAAAATGTCAAATAAGGCCATATTTAGGATGCTCTGTCTGGCCGACGCCATTTGGGGTGGTTCCCGGTAGAATTTTTTGATGAAATTTTTTTAGAATCTTATTTATCAAGTCTAGTTTACTCATATCAAATTTGAAGTAAAACTTAAATCGGGAAGGCATTCAAATGAATTCTTGAAGATAACTGTACTGTTAAAAGCGCAGTTATCTTCATGAATTCATTTGAATGCCTTCCCGATTGAATTGTTAGTTCAAATTTGATATGAGTAAACTAGAATGGCGTCGGCCGGACAGAACATCCTAAATATTGCCTTATTTGACATTTTTTTTTCAAGTTCGAGGCCCTATTTGACCTTTATCCCTTTATTTTTATTACTTTAGGCCCCAATTCCCGAATGTTTTTAGCAAAGCCTACCAAATTTTCAAAAAAAAGTCGTCACACCTGGGAATTGAACCCATGTTGCCTTTCATGTACGGCTTCCGGTTTTCAATCTCAACTACACGTTCTCTATGTTAGAAACTGCTTCGCAATGTGTTACAGATCACAACATTATTATTAAATTTAGAGAAAACATCAAATACTCCAAACTTTTAAGTAGTGTGAAGTTAACACCCCAAACTTTCTTATGCATTTTAAATACCCCAAACTTTATAAAAAAACTTTTTTAGAATCATGGTCATATGTTGTTTTTTTCAATAATGTAAATTAATGGTATTAATTGCATAATTTAAAATATTTTTATTTCAATTACTAAGCGTTGCAATTATATAGATCGAGGGTAAGTCATATATATATCACAATGGAATTTTAGTATGTTAATCATATCTTAAAAAGTACTAAAATATTTTAAATTACGTGATTAACACCATAAAATTACATTTTTCAATGAAATAATATATCATCATAGTGTTAAATTTTCAAAATCACTTTCATTAATTACCCTCACTTTAATTACTTACTCCCTTTAATTATTTTCACTTCATATGTTTAATTTTTCTAAATTTTCTCTTTCCTCTATTTTTTTATACCAAATACACTATTTAACCACTTGCCTAAATGAAACGTCATCTGCAAGAATAGGAGTATGAGTTTATAATTGTCTAAATAGGACTACCTTTCGAATCTTACGCTTGTTTTTTTTAATACATTTCATATTTTATTCAATATATAAATCATAAATATAAAAAATTACTTTATTTGTAATAAAACTTAAAAAACAATAAACGATATGTATTAAATAAAATTAATAAAAAAAATTAGAAAAATAAGAGTTACTACCTCTGCCACACTAACAATGAAACACTTTCTAGAAGTAAAAAAAACCATCTTAGTGACATTTTCAGAGATAAGATGAATGTTTTTACATAAAATGACATTATCTTCACAGATTGGATATGGCATTGCTGGGAGCTAGGTGGCAGAGGCTATGGTAAAGGCCTTCATTTTTTTATATATTTTTATGTGTTTTATCTATTTTTATTTATTTTTAAAAAATTTAGATTTTTTATTTTTTATAAATATTTTTGAATTTTGATATTTTTTTACGATTTTTACGAATTTTCTTACTCTTATTTTGGACTATTTCTCGTTTGATCTAATATATAATCATTTGTATTGTATATTTATTTTCACTAATAATTTGTGAGATTATAAAGTATAAAGAATCTTCTAGGTGTAATGTAAACAATGAAATACGTGGGCTCTGTTTGCAAACACAACTAAAAAAGCACTTTCCAGCTTTTGGCTTAAAAAAGTTAAAAAATATGTTTTCAAATGACAACTTCTACTTAAATGAATTACTTAAAAGCTAAAAGCTAGAATCTGCTTTTTACTTTTTCTATTACACAAAAAGCACTTATTTTAGCAAACATCACCAATTTTTACTTTTCAAAATCACTTTTTTCTCAAACACTACCAACTTTTACTATTAATCACTTTTTTATCAAATCATTTAAAAAATTTAAAAGCACTTCCCAGTTGTGTTTACAAACAGAGCTGTAGTACAATTGGTTTGCCATCAACGGTGTTCACCCCAGATGCACGGTTCGATTCCCCTGGGCGTTTGGATTTTGAAGAAAATTTTGGGAGAGCCTATACCGTACACCCGGATGTACATGTACATCCGGCATTTTTGTAATTTTTTCTAATTTGAAGAACAATAATCAGATCCTCCTTCTTCCGTCCACCTCTTTCCCTGTTTCTTCCGTCCGCCTCTTTCCCTGTTTCTTCCGTTCGCCTCTTTCCCTGTGTGTATGTGGACTATGTCCGCACTCGGCAGTTCTTTTTTTCTCAACCACCTTAACCTGCTTTTGCTTTGTAACTTGTAAGTAGTTTTCATTTTTATTTCTCTTTCCGTTTTATCTTAACTACCTTTTCATTGATTTCAATTTATGATGAATATTTAATGTGTTAATGTTTAATTTTTCTATTTTTAATTTAACATGAATATTTATTAATTTATGGTAAATCCGAATATGATTTAACTTCAATTCTTTGTAATTAAATTTTCAATAGTTTTGCTTATTTCCTGCACTTTTGTAATCCACTACAAGTTGCTTGCAATATATATATCATTGGAAATTGTGTTTGGTCTGGTTTGACCGTGGCAAAAAGAACTAAAGTAGTAAAAAAACATGATATTCAATTGAAAATGATTTTGATTCTAAATGAAATTTTGTATGCACACTTTAAGAATTCTAATATTCATTACACATAATCTTGATACTCAATAGTAGAAAACAATATACTCAATGAGAATGTTTTTATACTCAAATGAGACTTTTAAATTATGTGTATTCAATTGCAATATTGTACTCTATGGAGGGCGTTTGATGCTCAATGAGCAATATTGTACTTTTAGTGGACATCTGGTCTATTTTATTGAGTATTAGGATGCTAACAATGAGTATCACGATCTCTACTTCATATCTTCTAATCTTTTTTTTCTTTTATAAAAACTTATTAAGTTATATCTACAATCCACTCTTATTAATTTCAATATGCAAGTGTAATGTAATATGATACTTTTAAAATATGCATTTATATGACATTGTAAAAATGAGCATAACATCAGTACCAAATGAGCATACATAACATACAAAGTGCACATTGATAAGAAAATCGTAAGATTTGTAAGTTGAACATCATGACATTTTAATTGACCATCAACCTCCACTATTGAGCTGAAAATCACGACTTCTGAAGAATGAGTAATATTGAACTTTTAATGAGCATCAATCCTATTATATTGAGTATTAGGAGTCCAATATTCAGAATCGTGATCTCTGCTTCATAACTTTTAATTCACTTTCTTTTTGTTATTTTTCTGTTATAAAAATTAATTACATTATATTTATAATCAACTCCTATGAATTTCAATATGT